ATCCTATTGAACATCTCTGGAAAGATCTGAAAATGGCTGTACACCGTCGCTCCCCATCCAACCTGACAGATGTACTGATGATGTACATCTGATTTATCAGCTTTTATTCTTAGTAAATCTGCAACACTTTCAAAAACTCTTTGTTCACATGGTCATTATGAGGGATTGTGTGTAGAATATTAAAGAAATCAATCAGTTTAATCCATTTTGAAAGGCTGTAACATAAACAACTGTGAAAAAACAAAGCGCTATCAATACTGTCCAGATGCACTGTACACAACAGCACGGACTGTACAGTTAATATATGCCTGTATTCACTGTTCTACTGATTTATGCTGAATAAACCACTAAAAATACAGATGGAGGCTGTTAAATCATATAGAGAAGGAGTTTGTAGACAGGAAAAGATGCAATATTTTGTCTAACTGAAATGAATAGGTGGTATGAGCAGTATTATTGAAGATATTAGCATCATGTTTGAGTGTAAATGGAAAAAAAACACCTTTTATTCTTCAGTTTTTCTTGCTCTGCTTGATTTAATTGTAACTGTAGTCAGTCTACAGTACTCTAAATGTTTGTTTCTAGTCAGATATATATTGCAGCAAGTCACATGCTTCTGTCAGCACTTTACACATTGATCTGCCTTTATAACCAATACAGCAGAGTTTAACAGAAGACAGAGACACACACTAAATGTGTTTTATATTACTGGAATAACAAACAATACAGAAAACAGATGCAAATATCACTAAACACACTAAGAGATGAAAATTAGACTCAATTATCTGATGGTAAATGAGGATTAATGAATGATTCGAGAGCTGGAGACAGCCAAAAACAGCCTGAAAATGTATATTTACAACACAATATCTCCCTAAACACACAGAAAACATTATATTTAGACATTACTTAGATATAAATTGTGTAATTATTGTATATAAATCTATGATTAAAGTGTTTGAATGAATAGCAGGTTAATCTTGGAGATGGAAAATGCACCTGCAATTCAAGAATCTCCATCATTTTTCGTGGTACTGTATATTTGTCTGTTTTTCAGTCTAAGTTGTGTGTTTATTGATGGAAATGAGCAGCCTTTTCATTTCCAGATGGGCTATTTTACTCAATGATGTTTGTTATTTGCGTGTCTGTGTGTTTTACAGGATGATAAGCCTCAGATCTGCCGGTTAAAGCAGACGTTCCTCTTGCCTGAGCTGTTTGCTGTAGTTCTGCTCGATCTCGGCTCTCTCCTTCACAAACTTCATGTATCGCTCCAGCAGATCCAGCCCGCTCTGAGTGTGTCGCTCGATGGCGTCATGCTGGTCCTGCAAGAACAACACACCGCCGCTCTGAGTGTGTGTGTGAGTGTCTGGTATGCAGATGTGTCATTGAGTTTGAGTTTGAGTGTGTGTGTGTGTGTGTGTGTGTATTTTTCCCACATGCACGACTCTTGAACAGGCCTGACAGGTCGAGCTACTTCACCTGATCATCAGTCATGTCATCCCACATTCCTGCATCTCTGCTTTTTATATGCTGTACATACAGCACATACATAGCCACTGTCAACTACAATGGTCATTATTACAATCCAAAGATAAAAACCTTTATTATTTATTTATTTTTAAAACATGGAGAGTTGAAGGTGAAGTTTTTAACAGACATGTGTGTCTGACTTTCACTCTTACATCTGGCCCAGTGGTGTTTTAAAGAGACAGTTCACCAATAAGTGCACATTTACTCACACTCTAAACTGGCTCTAAACTGTATTAGGCAAGAGTGTGCCGCATCCCAAATAAAAGCTAATTCTGACATAATATAAGTGTGTGTGCGCTGTGTATATTATTTATTATGTATATCTAAACACACACATTATTGCACGTTTATTGCGTAAACATTTGTTTATATTTAGATATAAAATGTATAGACATTTTGAGGGATGTAAACAAAAACAATGGTCACGATGCATTTCCTGTTTTAATTCCTAAAACTTCTGAGAATCTAGAAAGAGCCACATGTTGATCAATAATGTTATGAGAGCTGTTTTAATATTAAGTTATGATTGAATCGTCTCTTGTTACAGTTATGAAATAGTTTAATAACGAGCAGGAAATGTTCATGAGCCGATGACATCACCACACAAAAATGCTCTATTTTCATAATATGCAAATAATATATATATTTATATATATATATAAATGATGTATATGTATGTATATATATTTATATATATACTATGTAGGCCACACAGAGGCTCAGTGGTTAGGACTGTGGCCTCACAGCAAGAATGTCACTGGTTTGAGTCCTGGCTGGGTCAGTTGGTGTTTCTGTGTGGAGTTTGCATGTTCTCCCTGCCTTCGCGAGGGTTTCCTCCCGGTGCTCAGGTTTCCCCCACAGTCCAAACACATGATGGATTGGGTAGGCTAAATTGTCTGTAGTGTATAAGTGTGTGTGTGTGGATGTTTCCCAGCGATGGAATGCAGCTGAAAGGGCATCAGCTGTGTAAAACGTATGCTGGAATAGTTGGTGGTTCATTCCACAGTGGCGACTCCTGATAAATAAGCAACT